GCCCCGTGAGTACATCCCCCGAGCCCCTGAAACCCCCTGAGGGACGGGCGGGCGGGCGGCAGCGGGTCTGAAACATGTTGGTTTGGGTTAAATAAAAGTTATATTTTCAAATAGCGAACATGGAACGGGCCAGGAACTCCTGTAGGTACAGGAATGACGGGTACCGGCAGCAGCGGGCGCTCAGCGCTGTGCGAGCAGAGCCACAGCTCAGCCCCACCTCCAGGTGACTCTCCAGATCCATGGGCCTCTTCACATGGAACTGGATTGGGTTTTTTTCCTCCAACATTAAAAAAACCCACTTGTTTTGGTTTGTTTTCCCCCAACATCATCACGATTTTTTGCTGGCCTGGGGCAGTTTATCTGTCTCCATCATTTAGACTCTCTGGGGTGAATAATAAAAAAATAAACAAATCTCTCCCTCGAATCCTCCACCCATCGCTCAGGACTGGGAACTCTTCTTTACAGTTTTCTGAAATTAAAAATCTTAGTACAGGGTCCTGGGGAAAAAGTGACTTGCTGAACATCACTGTTTTGATAGGGGTAGAGGTGGGCATCAGCAATCTCTGTTTCAGGAGACAGAATTCTAACACCGGGGCCTTGTGAGGCACTGAGAAAAAGCAGAAGGTATAAACCAGAAAAATCTAAGATGAGATTAATTACAAAATAAAGAGTTCTCCCTTCCTCAGCAGCTTTGGAGTTTCAATTCAATTGTAAACAGTTTATCTGCCTTTTTCCAAGGAAAACCCTGCACTTTTGCCATTTAGCCAAGTTGCTTTAACGTGTTCCTTAGGAACAGCAACTACTTTACACTGCATTATGTGTTTAAAATTTTTCTTCCTTTACAGATAAAACCTTGTTCAGAGCTCTCGTTTCCTGTGAAGATCTACTTCTGTGTCACTATTTTGTCTCTGCTAAGTGTCATAGGGCTAACCATAGAGACACTCGTTCGACAAACTGAGGAAGATTTCACCATTTCTCTTATTCAGTTAGTTGGAGTTGGTAAGAAACACACTGTTTTTTAAAACAAATATGTTTTTTCCCAAGGTAGTAATTAGGCAGCAACTGAAGTTTCTTATTTCAGTCCATTTGACCTGATAGTTACACATAGAATCTTCTGCTAGTTTAGCACTAATGCTTTTGCCATTGTTGCTTTTCCCAGTAGCATTTTAGGGAAAGGTTCAGTAATAGACATCGTTCACCCAGAATATATTCATGTGTGAACAGTGTGAAAAAATATTCAGGTTTTAGGAAGTTTTGTTCTAAGTAGCTTTCTTACTGCTGCTTCATCAGGCAGCTGTGGCGATGGTTTTGCTGTCAGACAGCTGTCACCACATGCAAGATACACTGAATGTTCAGCTGTGCCAGAAAGAGCTTACCCTTTCCCTTTTAATGCCTGTGCCGTAATGTGCTGGGGAATTCAGAGGTGTCCAGCCTCCAAGGCTTGTCATAGAATGTACATCTCCTGACATGAGTAAGAAACCAAACATACACAGTTTGATCTGAAACAAGAAAATGTTAAGTCATCTCTCTGTGTTAAGTTCCTGCAAGTTGCTTCACCTGAAGTATTTTAATAAAAGAAAATAACTAACTAATTTTTTTTAAAGCTCTCTTTTTTTTTCCCCCCCCCTTAATAATTTTTGTTCTACTGAAAGCAAAATCCAGACTTCCTTGGATATTTCCAATTAGAACTTCAATAGAAATTTCTGTTCATATTCCTGGGTCTATTTGTATTAAATAGAAATGAAACTTAACATGAAAATAAATACAATCATAAGTATTTTAGGAAGTCCTCTTCAGTGGCTTTTGCAGGTTTTGTCTGTTGGCTCGCTGGCCAAAACAGTGTAGAATAGACTCTGTGGGTGTAACACCTTGTGTACGAGAAGGATATGCTAATGATAAGCAGTCATTGCTTTCTGTCTTTCATGCTTTCACCCAGAGGGAACAAAAACAATAGATTTTGTTCCAGATTCTATAATTAGACACATACAAGCAATACTTTTATTCCAAAACTCTGGTTTGATTAGCAGCTTTTCACAGAGGACTCAGCACACCAACAAAAATTGCAATGTTAGAACAGGCCATTGGTGCCTCCAATCTGTCACACTGTTTTTGTTAGCAACCACTGCTTTGTGCTTCAGAGAAAAATGAAGAACCTTCATAATAAACGAAATAAATCACATGATGTTATAAATGGGGAAGCTGAAAGCTTGCTTGCTAATCATCTATCTCCCCCCCAACCTTCTGTTGATAATAATTAGTATTCTACGCTGCAACACACACAGAGGAAGAAGTTCATGCCTCTCGCAAAGCTCTGGTTTAAATCAGGAAAAACAGTGCATTTTTAACACATTATTTCAGATTTCAAAGTTTTAATGTGAACAAAAGTTGTTGTTTCAGCATACCAGTCAGTAAAGATAACATCATTCAAGGAACGTGTTAAAACCACGATGGGCTTACCTTGAGATTTTAAGATGTATAAGCTAACCTCCATAAATGTGCCAAAACCACATGTTTTCCATAGGGCAGACCAAGACTGACCGAACTGGTTATAGTTCTTTAAAGAAATAGATGCCCCAGCTGTAACAATCTCTTGGATTTACCACTGGAGATACTTACTTTAAAGAGGGTTTGGGATTTAATTTGTTGAAAAATAGTCACTTACCAAAAACAAAGGGATGTCCTGTATTTCAGAAATGTGTATGTGCTATCTCTGCAAAAATCTTAATGCTCAGAAAAAAAGCTTGTTTTCAAACAATTGGTACAGGCTTCTGATTTAGCAGCTGAATTTGCAAAACAAGGAAATACTGTCTTAAATCTTTCAGGTCTTCCTGAGGTCATAAGCATGAAAAAAAATCGCATGATTCACACTGTAATTTGTCAATCATTTTCCGTTTTCTCAGTCACTGTTAATAAAAGTGAAAAGGGAAGTTCATTCACTGGGAGGTTTGTTTAGAGAAACTGAAGTTATTATGTTACTTTGAAAACCTTATGATACTTTGTCCCCATGTCCCAACCTAGCAAAACTAGATTATTTTATGTGCAGAATCCAGGAAGTAGCCTTCTGGAAAAAGAAATCTATTGTTACTTTGTCTACGGTAAGAACAAACTAGTGTTTGTAGGAGCATCCTATATAAGAACAAAGCACTGATTCCTGTTTTTATGAAAGGAAAGCCTTTGCCTTATTTGAGCTGTGTCAAAACAGATGTATAGAGTTCAACAGACAGCTAACTGTGGTGTTAAGAGTGGTGGGTTTCGATGCATTTTATAAAAACATAACTCAGAACTTTCCTGAACCAGTTCTCTTCTGGACTATAGTTTGCAGGATGAGGTGTTTCAAAATTTCCACCACAAAAATAAACTGTTAGGAATCCAGTCTAAGTTCATTTCAACACGTGAGCCATTTGTAGTGTCAGAACCACACAAACAATACTGTAGAGGTATGTGTATGAGTAGTAAATTCCTTGTTAGTCACTTCAGTTACTCTTACTGGGAAGACTGTCATTTCAGTTCTTTAATAAAAATGGTGTTGCTTCATTTAACTGAAATATACTATTCAACATAGTGTTCAATATAGTATTAATAGAATAACATACCACAGCTGCCAATTAATTTGGATCACTAATATGTTGCCATTTTCAAAGTGCTACTTCACTAGTAATTTAAAAATCTAACAAATTATTTAATTTCTTATGTGTTAAACACAGGGGAAAGTACTCATTTTAAGTGTCTGATTGAGGCTCCTTAGTAAGAATAAAAATACACTCTCGACTGAGGAGCCTAAGTTACACTCTCTTGATACCTGTATTTTGTCATCTGGATCAAGGATATTGAAAAATTGCACCATGTGCAATCTGTGTTCTCCTGGTAACTGACCTTTCCTTCTCCTCCCCAGTGTTCTGTGTGTACTATGTGACTAGAGGAATCCTGCAGGAGAATCGCCAGGAGCTCATCGTCTTTGTTCTTTCCATCTTGCTAGTGATGTTTCGTTCCATTGTCAACTTCACAGTTCTCTCTGCTGAGCAAAAGCCAAAACTCCTGGTTAGTCTCCTGGCTTTAACTTCGCTTTTCTCCACACAGTGGATTTGAAAATCTTAGAAAAGCAAGATATCTGTGATAAGGGCACTGGTAACAGAGAAAAACCAGGCTGAATTATTCCTACTATTGAATAACAAAATGTGCACCTCCACAATTGCAAATTTGTCTCTCTGAGCTATTCTATGAGTTTTTTTATGGCAGTATCTGAAAGTAACATAAATATCAAAGAATATTACACAGGATTACCACAGAAGATATCCTTTACTTCACCTATTCTGCATCAGATTTATGTCTATAAAACAACTGGCCTAAAAGCACGTAAATCTACTCTACAAACAGGCCTGGAATCTCCAGTCTACATGCAAGGACACAGCCATTACCCCACTGCTCTATAAATGCAGCAGTGTGTTTTTTAAGAGAGCTGTGGGTAACCTCCTGCAAGGAAACTGAGATGCAATGTGCTAAGGGAGGTACTGCCATTCCAGATTATCTTATTTGCATTTTGTAACAATAAAATGTAATATGAGGATTACATTCCATGCAATACTGAGATGTGTAGTTAAACTTTCCTTTGCTGTGCTGCTCAGAAGTCCTTCCCTTTTGCAGTAGCACGTTTATCACAAATGTGAGAAGGAGGTTACTTGCTATGAAGTCATCCAGAAATTATTCTTCCATAGAAGAAATGGCAACCAAGCTAGGAAGACGCAGCAAAGCAGAATTTTCCTATTCAATTTACATCTCAATTGTACATTTAGTTAAATATACTTATCTAGAGCAAACTGAGTTAGGTTCAATAAGGAACAGGAATCAAGGAGATGCAAATTACTTTAAGGTATGCATCTCAGTCATCAGTTTATATATTAAACAAGAACCTCAAAGTAAAGCCTGGTGTATAAGATTCAGGACTTACTTTTACTACTATAAAGTAACTTGGATTACTGTAACTCCTACTTCCAGAGCAAAATTTCAGAACCATAATAAAGCATACTAGTATTCTCATCTCAGTGTAATTACGAAGGACATTTGTCCACTTCAGCCATCTTTAAAGCAGCAGACATTTAGTGTGAATGCCAGCAAAGTTGTGGATACAACCCAGACAAAACCACGTACAGCATCAGAGTAACCCAGGGAAGATTCTTATCACTTGGTTTATGCCGCATAGCAAGCTTAGAGCCAGTCTCTGGCAAAGAAATATGTTTCTTCAAACTGTGGAGTAAAACATACAAGCAAAACCTTGCTAAAAGTTGTCACGATGGTATAGAGAGTGCAAATGTTATGTGTCTCTTAACAGCTGTGAAGCTACATTGAAGGTAAGGTAAACCAAAATAGCCAATATGAGTTTACAGTTACTACCAAGTGGTTGCAACAATCACAGCCTGATCTCTGCCACTTAACAGTGTGGCAAACTGTCATCTGTAATTGTTGTCTATTTAAAACACTGTTAATAGGCAGCCTGGTTCCCCTTACTCCTTTATTGTTACCAGTTAGAAGATTTAAGATTTTTTGGCATGGTCAGTCACATCCTTATTTCTCTTTCCCATCAGGCCCGCTTCATTCTGATCCTCTTGGTTGGCTCCTTTGATGTGATCTGTGCCATCATCCTCATTCAGAGTCAAAGCATGATGGCCTTTCGAGTGGGTGGTGCTCTAGAAAGTCTGCAGTCACAGTACTTCATGCTGAACCTCTGTTTCTCCATGTTGACCTTCGATCTTCAGGCACAGGTATAGAATTCTCTCCCCCCAGGTTCCCTTTTTTTCCCCTCCTACTGAGAATATTTTAGAATTAGACGAGCTGAGCTGAACTATTAACTTTGTAGAGAAATCCTGCCTGTATCTTACCTTTTAGATAAGATTAGCTTAATAATCATCATCTCTCCAGGTGTTTGCTAAAGGGAAGCTTAGTTAAAATCCCTAAAAATGAATCAACATGTATTTTATCATTGTCCTGCCCAAAAGGAAAACTGAATCTTCTTTTTGGGAAGTATGTCCATAAAAACAATTGCATCCAGAAGCTCCAACCCAACACAGCCTCCTAAAACGAGGAAGATTATCACTGCACATCTCAGCCTACAGCCTCTTGCTTTCCAGCCATCCTAGCTGTCTCTTACATTTGAGAAAATGACACAGGGATAGGAGAGGGGAGCCTGACCTAGCAGGGCAATCAGGGCGAGATAGTGACCTGGAGTTATAGGTAAGTGAAGTGAACACAAGATCTGTTCAGAAAGAGTTTGTACTTCTGTACACTACCCTTCATTCTTACTTTACTACTGTATTACCTCATGCTTTATCTGGAGCTCATCTTACTGCCTTCCCTGTTCTTTGATGTTGCTAACATGGCATATAGGGAATTACGTCTGTCCTTATGTCCTGTTTCGTACTGTCTGTCAGGTTCTGAGGAAAAATTTTAGTCTTTTGACCTGTGCCCAACTTACTGTTGCCAGGAGTTTGTGTCAGATATTTTTCAGTGGGCTGTATGGTCTCTCAAGCCAATAAATTTACCAAATCTTCACCTTTTCTTTCAGCTCTGCTTGTGTATTCTGCTGATAAGCCTGCATGAGATCACCCTTCTGCATAACATCATCTCAGCAACAGGGGTTCTTTGGGCCTGCCTGAAGGTGACCATTAGCATCATCGCAGTAAGTGTTAAGCTAACAGCAACACTAGCAAGAATAGTCAACTTCTGAGGCTACAAGTTCTCACCCTGAGCAATTATCACAGGCTGGGAACTCGCAGCCATCCAATTCTATGTAATACTGCTAAGTGGAAGGGAGCCAGAATGGATCCCAGCAGAAAACAAGATCACCAACAATAATGAAGTCAAGTTTCTTATAAATCTGTGTCTCTCAACTGAATATACAGGATGAAACAATGTCACACTATCATTATTCCTTTCTGAGGGACATTGTTTTACTCTCAGTCCTTGATCACTTACTTTAATGAAACCTATAGGATTACAGTATCTTCAATATTTCTACCTCTCTGACAAGGTTAGGTGAAAGTGGCAACAGTCCTTGAAATTATTATGAAGATGGATATACAGACACAGTGAGACTGCATAGGCCTTATATCCTTAGGAAATGACACCAAAAAGATGAGTGGTCCTTTACTGGGGCAGCTTCTTTAAAGGTGAGTGACAGTTTTCAGGTTAACATAAGGATTTGTGAACTTGAAATGTTTCATACTAGTCAGACTGAACTTCCTCAGAAATCTTGAGAGCTCTGTTCCAAGAGTGACTGCAGAATCAGGGGAAAGTACGTCAGATATACAAGACTCTTATTACCAGGAAGGAGTTTAGAGGGTTTTGAGTTTGTTGGGTTTTTTAGGCTCCTTGGGTGTTTGTTTTAGCCATTCAGACAAATTCCTGACAACTGAAATACAGCTTTGCAGGTATTTTGATTGCTTTCCTGGCTAAAAACAGAGATAGCACCAAGCACTGTGCTTTTAAAAGACTTTAGTAACTTTAAGTGAATAGTTGCACAGAATCATCTTTTCCTGGACTTTGGAGTGTTGTGGCCACTAACAGCTGTCCAGCAGGGAAAAATGGAGACAGGACTAACTGTGAGTGTGACACTTAGGAATGCAGACAGGGACATTATAGCTTGGTTTCCTTCTAAAAGCTCCTTAATACCTTTCTGCCTGGATCTTTGCTTTTAGTTAAATTGTATCAGGGGTGGAAAGAAGGGAGCAATTAGAACCATGTCTGTTTTCCTGCTAGGATTAAAAGTGTAAACTTTTCAGCTACTTTTTCCCCACCGTAAGAAACAAAGTTGATCTGACCAGTTGCCCTTCACAGAGTAGTTTTTTGCTTCTCCTTAATTTGCCTTTAGGCATTAAAAGAGGCACGGTATCTTTTAAGAAAAGAGGCATTTCAGTTAGATGCTCTCATGTCTTAACATACATTATATTCCTTTTGCTTCCATCAATAGCAAAAGTATTTCTTAATAGTTCAACTAGTTATAGTAAATGTCCCAGGGATAAGTACATATTCTTGCCCTTTGCTCAAAACTGTCTACGCTACAGCTACTTGAAAGCTACTTTTTACCCAGTCTGGGTATATTACTGACTATTCTACTGGAAAAAGTTAACAGTTTCTTGTCTAACTAAGAAATACCAAATGTAAAATTAATGAAAAAAAATATATAGTGTTGTATTTAGTAACTGGCAGCACTGCAGGGCAACAGCAACTTAGATAAGGTGGATACATTTCATGAGAGTCTGGTAGCTTTGCATCCAAGGTAAAAATGATCCTGTTTGCAGGATTGTTTCCTTACCCTATTCAGACAAGTTTTTCACAATTCAGCTTCTAGCAGATGATGCAGCAGTAGAGAAACATGTATCATTGTCTCATTTGGTGCCCTCAGAAACTGCAGCTGCTATGAGGTTGTTACCTAAGAAAGGTATGGAGACATACATAATCCACCAAAAACTATAAGCATAATAGAAGGGAAGACTTGGAAACGCCTCATACACAGTGCTTCCCAGTAACCACAGTACCTGAGAGCACAGCTAAGCCTCCTGCTCCCTTGTTTCTGGGTTGATGCACGTGCCATTTCACAACGGGATTATTCTTGGGGTTTTTTTGTTTGTTTGTTTGTTTGTTTTTCTATTTATATACATGCTCTCCCATTTACTTAGTGGATTTCTTTCCATTATTTATTTTCTCTCTTTTCTCCTGTTAATTACTAATCCTCTCTTCTCCCCTCCTCATGTTTCTCAGCCTTTGTTTTCCTTTCCATTTTGGTCTTATCCTAAGAGAAGCCCTATGCAGTACCACAGAAAACGGAGACAATAGTAGAGGTGGCAGAGAACAGACAAAATCCCTTAGGGGAGGGATAATTCCCTTAATGCTTTTCCAGAGGTTCATATACTGACCATTGCAGAAGGATCAGTATTGGTTTTGGGGGAAATCTGTGGTTGATCAAATCTTATCATAGCATTGGTGTAGTCACTGCTTTCATTCCCAGTGACTCAGCTGTTTTTCTTTTGTTTGCTCAGACCTGCCCTTCCAGTTAAGGACTGCTGAAATTTGCTACCTGCTTGTTTCTTCTTTCCCAAGTCCCAAGGTTAATTGTGAAATGAAGTTCTGAAAATTAAATCCTCTTGCTCCTCCCACATTTTAGTTCTCAGTGACTTTAATTCTCTGTAGTAGAAACAAAGGCGGAAAAAAAAGTTATAGAGCATTTTCAGTCTGTTAGCTATGAAAACATTAATTTGTTAGAGAAAATTCTGAGCATAAACCCAAAGAAAAAGTACATCAGCTTTGATGCAACTCAGAGGAGTCAGCTGCATGTCCAGTTAAGCTAGGTGGGAGTTGTACTGTAAGTGTTAGAAGGCAGAGCTCAAGAGGATGCTAAGATGGTTCAAATCACACACAACTGTTAGGATGTGCCCATGAAACAACAAGTCCTGATTTCACTTGAAATGCTATTGAAAAATTAACTATATTGCCTTTATATAGCAACGAGTTATAAAGCTGTATATATCTCATCTTATTTTACAGATTTTAAAAGAACTAAAACCTCTAGTGTGGATTTTTCTGAGTCAGAATGTACCTGAAGTAGTTTATCTCATCTACCTGCTCTACACGGTAATTCATCAAACTTACTTGCTCGATAATGGGCTGGAGGCCTCCTCTTCATCACTGGATCCTTGGGCCCAAAGCAACAGACATGTCCTGCCTCTTCAGGATCAACTTTTCAAGACAGGAACCATGTCAAATTGCTGTTGAATTGGTTTCTTAGAGGGAGAGGCCCTGGAAGTCTCCGCAACTGGCAAAGTGTCCAGAACGATTAGGGATTTTTGATGCAACAAAAATCTTCCAGTATAAGATACACAGCTCCTCAAAAATGCCTCCCCTCCTTCACAAGAAGTCTCGAGTGGTGCCAGAGTATTTGACCTCTTGCAGGGCCTCAAGTCATTATATTTTAAAGAATTTCTTAGGCAGCACCCCCAGCTGTCGATCCTGATGTAGCCAAAACAAAAGACAGTGTAAGCCCGACAAACTCCAGCGTTAGGCATTTTTTGGCACTGTAATAGTGATACAGCACTTATCAGTGGGGCACCCCAGCACCTCCCACAACACAAGGAGGTAAGGAAGAAGGGCAAAGCAGTGTTCGTCACGGGAAGGGCTCGAATGCTGATAGCAGCCAGTGTTTCTCATACTTCACATTATTAAATAGTGTCCAGACACTGATAGAAGTCCAGTGGCTGCAGTCATCCAAGTCCTTGGAGTTCTGGTTCTTAAAGTATGCAGTCAGATCAGGCTCTTCCAATTATTCACTGGCAAAGCACAGAAGGACCACACGCTGTCATTGGTGGCTACACTTTGTGTGTATTGCAGCTAGGAAGAAAAGCACAGGTGGTGGCTTCTGACATAAGAGTAACACAACAACTTGAAAACAGCTGGGTCTCACATTTTTACATGGCAACAAAGAGCACGTGAGAGTGCCCAGCACACAAGGCCATGGACATACAATGCAATACTCCTCTGTGCTACAGAGATATGTAATATAGTAATTTCTCCAAACCAATTATTTTTAGCACCTTTTATCTGACTGGCAAAGTAAGATGGTTTAAAAGTGACCAGGTTTTTTCCTCTCCCCAATTACTATCTAGTGACTTCCTTCACAAATTTAGTGGTTAATTGCATTTTATGGCTTCAGGGTTTTGTGGCACTAGGAGTTGATTGTTGTATGTCTTTATTTTCCTGCAGGTGATAAGAGAGTGGGGCAAAGGGAATTCTTACACCCTGGAAGCTGCTTTCATTATCGGCTCTTGCATTTCTGTTGCAATAAAATCTGTTTTGTTTTGGGCACTAATTCATGTCTACCGCAGCTTTGGGCAGGGCCTGAGAGAAAGAAGTAAGTATTTGGAAAGATTAACTTAACTATGAAGGTTGTAGCCTGTCATATCACAGTCACTATTAAGTGTAGAGCTTATTGAGCCAGGAAAATAGTTAGGGATAGTTCCAAGAAAAGGCAGATCCTTAATGACAGCAAGCAGTACTGCAGCCTCAGAATTTACTGGCCTGACAAAGCTCAGAAGGTTGGATAGAACACATGTGGTGTCTCCCTGAAGAAAACTGGCATTAGTCAAAGTTGGAAGCAACTATGCAAGAATTGCTGCTATCCAGAAAAACAGACCTGTGTGAAAAAATCTCTATACAAGATACATGTCGTTTTTCTTCTTCATCATGCTGTATGATATGCCTTATAATAACTAAAAGAGACAGAATAAAGGGACCTAGAGAGTTACTAATCTTAAACTATCCAAATCTCTTTTTACATGAAGGACATAAACGCTGGTAGGTGTTGGTGTTGACTGATCTTCCTTTCTTCCCACAGTGTTTTCTTCCTATGGAAGGATCGACTCCTGAGCATCCCCCTTGAGTTCTATCGGCAGCTCTTACAGAGTGAAATCATAGTTGGGGAAGTTCTGATCAAGTACTTGCATTCAAGATGTAAGATAATGGGATCACTTTCACAGAGGCAGAGGAAGTTGCTCAGAAAAATGTCTATACATTTCTTGGAACTACAGCAGTGCAGCTGGTAACTTAGTTGAAAAAGCAAAGTGCACTCGGGAAATTAACAGTAATCCTCTCAATTCAGTGAGTTTTGCTGACAGGACAATACATCTTTCACTCTTTGTTTTCCTGATGCTGCTTTGTAACTGCAGGAGGTTCACAACATGCATGCGAGTAGAGAATGTTAATATAAATGCTGTTATTCTGGATATACACAAACATCATGAAAATAATTTGCACACCCATCTTTTCTTACCGAGTCTGAAGTGGACTGCCCTACCATTTCTCAGCTCAGATCTGTTGCTGAACAGAGGTCAAGCCCTGAAGTTGTTTTGATGAGAGCTGTATTCCCTGATCTCCACAATGGCTGTGTGATGGCTGGGGATCTTGTTCCTCCTCTAACTTCAGAATATTTCAGTTTATTTTGGGGTTTTTTTTTAAATCCTAGGTACTCATGAAAACTACTCATGTAATCTCATGCCTTCCTCACACACTTCATATAGTGTATCTAACCGATGTGCCATTTCATACATAAGGGTGACTGTTAAAATAAGCCTTTAATATTTTAATTGTAAAATTTGGTATTTTGTTGACTGGAACCTTTAGCTACTGGCTGCCTATTTTTTAATAAAGTATAAACACAGTTTGCACATAGATAATTATTTCTCTTATCAGCAGCATGAGTTCAATGGGAAGCCTGTTTACAAACCAAGTATGGAAGAGGCTGGAACTGCAATTCACATGTGCTGTGAACGCTGTGCACTGCAAAAAGTAGTTTATTGCAGCTTATTAGGGAAATTTACAAGGAGATCTCAAAAATTCTATTAAAAAAATATTTTTCTCATCCTACTCTTCTAAATATGAAACAAATCTATTTTATAGATAGCACAATGGAGGCATGAAGAGCTTAAATGTCTATGGGCAGACTGCATACAGCTGACAACATCAAGAGAAAGCACAGGAGTACCAGCTGATGACTTCATTCCACAAGTCAGAATGTGACTGTGAATTGTTGCTGAAAGGGAGGAACACAATTAAGCATATTCAATCCTTTTCTATAACAATGAAGTGTGCAGCAGGTCTTGCCTAGAGCAGGAGCAGTAAGGAAAGACTTCAGTCTTGCATTAGGCCTGTACTTGGTCAAAATTAGCTGAAGAAAGTAGGCTTGTGCTAAACTCCTTTTATCTTCATAGCAAGGAGGTGGCAGAAATAATTGTATCATTAGAAGGAAAAAAGTTGTTATATGCAAACATTTATCTCCCCAAAAGCAGAAATGTATTAGTATGCCTTGGAGAGTTAACCTTCATATTTTCACAGAAAAATGTTCTTATTCCTGACTAAGGTCTTGTGAAGTTCCTGTGAAAATCTGCCTGTTCTTTTTCACAAGGTCTTGAAGTTAATACTTGTGTAGATAAGAGCAACTCGGCTGAATCTGAAAGTTTCCTGATACACAATCCTATCATAATCTGCAGACAATATCTTTGGCCTACTCTAAATTGAAGCACTTTAATTATTGTCTACATTCAGGATTAGAGTGGCTAGGCAAAAAATAAACCAACTCTTTCAGACAACCAGCTTCACATTATCTGTTATTAAAGCAGGAGACTGATCCAGCTAAATCCAAAGTTAACTTTGGATAAATCCAAAGTTACTCATCACATTTTTTTTTAATTGGTATTCACCAATAGAAGAGGAAAACAATGGGAACAAATCACATTGTACCAAACAAATGGAAACTACTGCTCTACATGTCATCAAGAGCTTCCCCTATCAAAAGCATTTCACAAGTTTTACCCAGAGTGATACGTAAAAGGGGATTTCAGTTTTAGGTAATTTGCGCAAATTCTTTACATAACACCTGATAAATACCCAGACATTTCCCCTTCTTTGAGCAATCTTTTCCATGCTGTATGAGAAGTCTCTCAAAAACAGCACGTAGAGAAGCTACTTTTTCATATGCAGTAAAATAAATGCACCTAACAAGAAGAAAAGGTTGAAATCACTCATATGCTTCATTTTTGCATTATTATCTTTAACCTGTTCTTTGTTCAAGCCCTTGGGTTAAATTTTTCATCGTGCATTACTGAAAAAACGAATCAACTTGCTATTTTCCCATTGCTACGAAATACTGGTAGCTTTAATTGCATTTTTCTGGGTACATTTTCCTGCTTTTCTGTTTGAAGACAATACATGAGACCAAACTCTTCCCCCCCCACATTTTGCTCCTGACTCCCCTTAAAAAAAAGCTTCAAGCTGCTGTGCACATGTGCAACAGCTGCTGCTAATTTGGATTCCAGAAAAGTTAGAAGAAGAACAGCACAGAGAGACAAAGATAATTTGACAAAGTAAGGAAGGGAATTCAAGGCCTTGCAATCCTGTGTCCCACAGTAACAAGTCATTAATCGGTATGGCTAGTTCAAATTCTCTTTAGAACATAATCCTGTTTTTACAAAACAAATGCTAATACCACTGTAAATGCTTTATGCTTCTCTACCACTCCCTTCATTAGCAACGCAGCACATCATCTCAAGAGTTGCACAAGGAGCACGACACTATCATCAAGTGGTAGGACTGCTGCAAAAAAAAAAAAAAAAAAAAAAGAGACTCAGATTAAATTAAATTCAGTATTTCAGGGAACAGCAGCAACAAGTACAAGCTCTGTTGACCTTCACATCCAGTATGAGATGTTTTGTTTTGTACTTCCCATGTTGGCTGTAATTCATACTGCCACTCAATGCCTACGTGAACAATCTAGATTAAACTAGGCTGTAACTTGCTGCCTATGTGAACAATCTAGATTAAATTACATGTTGGTACCAACACCCATTTCAGCTTATCATGTAGATACACTGCAGGGCAGGGTAAAACTAGAAACAGATAGCCTCAAGCTTCATACAGGTTTATGGCCAAATCTTCCTGTTTTGGGCTACCTTAAGTTCTCCTAACTCTTAAAAATCCAGGGTAAATTGATACAGCCATTTGTTAATCAGCCCAGCTGAATTGATTTTGTGCCAAAAGTTTTGATACCTCAGCTTGGAAAGACTACAGGAGGCTGGAGAGTACTTTTTGCTGGTTCAACAAACTATGGTGATTACAGCTCTCAATACTATAACTGGGTTGTTTAAACTGCAAACCATAAGAAGCCTTCATTCTGGCAAGATAAGACTAGCAAACTTCACATAAACTATCTCCAAAGAATCACCTGTAAGATGAGGATTGATTGTTGATCCTTGGCAGTGCCATTTCCCAGCATTACACACAGGCAATAGACAGCAAGAGTTTGTCACTAGTCAGGCATGAGAAGATGGAAAACTCTTTCTAAGGTACCTTGTAAAGCAAATGAACTCCATTTAAAAGCAGCTCTATTACCTGCCTAAGATCTTTCCTCACATTTATCAAATTATTTGACATGCATGAACTGTTGGGATAGGTTACAGATTAATTATGAAACCATAAAAAGACTTAATTATAATCATTAGCACAAGTTTCATGGAATAAGTGTCTAGAACTTGGTCACAACATGCAAATACAAGGATAGAATGAGAATTTAAAGTTCCTTTTCCATCCTAAATTTACTAGGTATACAAATTATCTGAGATTGTCTCAGATTACTGCCTTATATATTTCTTTCCCCATTTTTCTACTCTTGGGCCTTCAAAAAAGTAGCCCAACTAGTTGTACAGAATATTTGTTTCCACTCACACAGCAAATTCAGCTTTTATTTTGAAACTTTTGAGAGAAGACTGGTATCAGACACATACATTCAAAAAAGCCTTAGGTATATTTTTAGAAAACCGATGCTGCTGTCCCATGAGCAAATGTATCCAAAACCCACACCAGACATTTGCCTTCCAAGCAAGTAATCGTGCATACCTGATTTTATATTCTCAACAGTCAAAATGCTGCTTTACAAATCCAACTTTACAAAAAGATTTTATTGAAAGGATTGAAAAATATTTGTTTTTAATGATATTTAAAACAAGTTTTCAAAGCATTAACAATATTTAACAGGATTTTTCCTCTTTTAAAAATTCAATACGCTGCTTTAATCCATACTGCATCAGTTGTCAGTAACTTCTTAAAGTCTCTACTAGAGAATAACTTTAAACAAAAAACAACAAAACAACAAAACCAAACAACAAACAAATTAATTTCCAAGCTTCCATTTTGGCCCTTTGTAGACTGAAAAGGATTTGTAGGTACAGTGACATTTACAAACCCTTATGTTAGGAACACACTGCTCTTAATCAGCAAAAACCTACTTTACTAGTACAGTTTAAACAAGTTATTTTGCGTAAGCTACATCAGCAAAACGAGCTCTTATTGCCAATAGAACCAAGCCTGTACTACAGCTTTTTTCTGGTTCAGCTGTGCTTTGAACAGAAGTCGCCCACACTTTAAGCACAACATGCAAAACTTGAGCGCTGTGTTTGAACCCCACCAGCCTGCTCGTGAACGGCTGCTTTGCAGATTAAAGGCCTTGAAAAGGGACTTTGTACGGTTTAGATAAATTTGTAATGTATTAACACAGTTTGGGTTGTGTTTTGATATAATGCAGCTAGTACAATTACAATCAACACAGCTTTTTGAAGAAAAAGCCAAGACTGAAGTCATTATGTGACTTACTTTCCTTTTGTCAGTGATTGTAGCTCTCTACCTGGCTGATCCATGGTCCAAGTAAGATCGTTATCAAGGGGGAATAGTTGTACAAGCAAAACTGCAGACACCTCAAAGCCAGTAATGCAATTGCAGTACATGATTAAATTCAAAGACAACTCCTAATCTAGATCTAATCTAGAGAAAGCAGTTAGGTAAGTTTTGATTACAGATTTCATGAACTATGCACTCTGAAAATTAAAGTTCGGCAATTTAGCCAATAATAGATTTACTATTATAAAAAGCATAAATAAAAAGTGCTGAATATAGTTTTATCTTTAAAAAAATACTAGATAAGGCTCATTAATCGTTTCGCCTCACCTCTGCAAAATTATTTCCACTTCCTAGCGTGCCTAGTATTCTGCTTGGTTTTCACTTAACAATACATTTATACAGCCACTATACCCTGTTCCTTTTCTCAATTATTGTATGTTTAAATAAAATAGTTTCAAAGCAAAAAGTCTGACACTTCTATAGTTCAAAAAGTAAACAGTTATTAAATAACTGAATACTCCACCTAGGAAACCCGTAAGCAGCTTCAAAACAGTGATAAAACAATTACTGCAGATTCAAGTGAAAGATAAATCCCAAAAACTATCTGGATATTCTCCAAGATATGACAAAATCTGTCTATTTAGACCAAATCAAATCAATATTCTATTTTACAAAATTTACAAACTCAGTATTAATTTATATTAACACAATTTCATTGTGATTTGTATCATTAACCAAGAGTTTGCACCTCTTTTATGGAAAAGTGCTCTCACCTGGTTCTAATAAAATTAGACAGACTAGGGCAGCATCCAAAATGGAAGAGACATCATTTAAACCATCAGAGGACAGCAGGTTAGGCAGAGTTTGGAAATTAATACATTTCCCATTACCACTTTGGACCACATAAACAACATAAGACAATCATGAAAAGTTCAACAGAGCTTCTCACTCCACTTCCAAGGAAATCCCACCTTAACCAGTAAACTAATCCCTCCACAGTATTATGCTATAGGCTTAAATTGAACAGATAATGTCCATTCCTTTAATGACCAATGCAGCAAGACGTTGAAAATGCTAGTTTGGATAGTATGATCATGAGACTGCACCACAGAGAACATAAATGTAAACATTATACTTGGGTTTGCTATTTTTCAGTTAAAGTACAGTACAAACCCTTTTTTCCCAACTAGGTTTTTTTTTTGTTGTTGGTTTTTGTTTTTCTTTCATAAAAGCACATACAATAAAATATGTACATAGAGAAGTTAGAAACATTTGAAAGCATCTTAAAAAAGTAAATATGAGACAGAATATCTTGAGTGTGCTGAAGGCACCGTTGCTACTCTACTGGGAATGTGTCCTCTCATTTCTCAGCCTAGCATCGCAGTATCCCTTTCTGTATTACTCAGCACCAAGAGTTGGAAGGTATCTACGGAAGTTGAAAGCATTCAGGATATTCTTTTTCTTCAAGACAATAGTGGAACTAGACAATATAGCAGTAATTGAAGTCCAGATTCTTCTTGAACACCTGGAGATTTTTTTTTTAACTTTATAGTCTCTAATGCTATCAATTATTCCAGAGAATTAAACAAAAATAACAAGAAAAAAACCAACACATTGATGATTCCCACCAACAGGAACTGCAGAGCTATTAACTAGCTCAGCTACAAAGATGGAGATCAATGTAATAACCAACTAAGCCCACACTAATGCTTGTCCATGCTCTTTGAGGATATCTGCACAGTGATGACAGCCAAGGGTCAAACACTGTTCAAATGGGCATAAAGATATATATATATATTTATATATATGTATGTATGTATATACAAATAAAATATAGACTTTTTTTTTTTTTTACTAGTTCCATCTATTAATAAAAAACATTCTCCATGAGTGTTTCTTCACAGTGTGTCACATTTGCAAATAAGGAGGAAGTATTTTAAGCACTGTCTTGGTGGGGAGCTGTTCTGGGCAAGACATTTAAGCTAACAAAGAGGAGTTATTGTTTGGTTTTTTTAAGCAAACATCTTAGAGCCTTTATATGCATAGCAGTCTTCAGTGGAATTACAAATATACCAAATCAAACAGACTATTTTAATGCCACTGTTCTATTATGTATCTACATTCAGCCTACCACATTATTGGTAAGTTATAGGTTACAATCAGATCTACAGATATGGTCGTCAATACCAATCAGAAATAAACCATTTTCAGATTCCTCATTTTAAAAAAATTCAAATGGGATTACAACAATCAGCCTAATTTCTTCTGTTCCTACTCTTGGTGGACAGGAAATAGCACAATAATTTCCAGCACAAACTATCATCACTATATATGTCTGAGATGGTGACCACACTTGTTAGCCAACAACTTCAAATCCCAAGCATATGGAAGGGATACTGCCACTTTCCATTCCCATGAGTCTTGTTAGACGTAGACACTCAAAATTCTTCTTCTTCAACAGCAAAGTTATTTTGCTTCTTCCGAACATTCCAGTGTAAACACTCAGCCAAGCTTTCAAACCAGTCGCTCACAGGATCTCGGAAACAGATCGAAGGAAGGGGATAGCAAGAGGTAGTGATGCTAATACTGCAACAACACAGGAATACCCCAGTCAGTCAAGGGCAATGAACAGCAATTAAAAAAAGAGAAAAATAAAATCTTCTATACAGTGGCTAACATAGTGCTACATTCAGCCAATTTGGTAGAACAGCCAGTTTCCATCATCAAGCAATAACTGAGAATACTGAACCAACTCCATCAAGTCCTGCAGTCTTTTGCTGGTCTTCACATCAACAACACAGGGACAAAGGAAAATGTAAGTCACCACCTCGGTCTTTAAACTATAAGCAACAGCACTAAGAGGTCTAGCATCTAACAAAGGGCCAAATCTCATGTTTGAATCCTTACTAGTCTCCTGATCTATTCTAGAGATCTTTCAACCTCAGAAAAAATACAAACATTTCAAGATGGAGTGTCAAGCCAGCTATACATTTTCCTTCCTGGCAACTTGCACAGACTGAGAAAAAAAAATAAAATCATCCTGAATAGCAAATCTACCAGTCACATATCACACAGCTGCCTTAAATAATGTCCTATTAGTATAAGCCACCACATAAAAACTGAGGAAACTTCACACACTGCATTCTGCTCACTCAATGCAATCATTCACTACATTATCACAGTTTAAACCATACTGCA